CCGGGTAGGTCAGGTCACCCGCTCGGTGCTTCAATGCATGAAGTGCAGTGGATGAAACCGGCCTCTTTGGTAAAGCGTTTTAGGAGCCAGGAGGCGGTGAGTCCCTGTGCCCAAGGTTTTGCTGGTCCTGGGATGGGGCAGGGGTTTACTCTGATGCCTGGCCCGAGCCAGGAGAGTCATATGATTGTCCTCCTATTCCTGTAGCACTGTGCACCACGCACACCCCTTACATCCAGTTGTGCCCAACTTTGGAGCTGGGGCTGGGGGTGTATGGAGAGAGCTGCCTCCTTGGGGCTGGGGGTGCACAGAGAGCTGCCAGCCTCCAACACGAGACCAGCAGATGCAGACAGACCAGCAGAGAGGCATCTTGCCCACGCTCCTTCCAGCCCGGGTTTTCTATAGCAGGGATGGGCTGATGATGGCAGGCTTCGTCGCCTGGATCTGGGCGTATTCGGAGCTGCCAGGGCCGGGAGCAAGGGCAGGTAGCTCCTTGCCTCCCACCCACAGCTCTGAGCTGTAGCTGCTTTCCAGGTCCCAGCCTGCCTCGATGCACGTATGGAAGTGAAAGCAGCAGAGGTGGGTGGGGGGATCTTTGTGCCACGTGCGTTGGCTCAATGGCAGCTTGTAAAACGCTCCCTGGCCGATGTGCAGGTTGCAGCTGAGGAGAGGCTGGGAAGAGGGTGGGAGAGGGGCCAGGGCTGCTCTTGAAAGGCTGAATGCAAGCTCTGGGAGCCATGTTGGGTGGGATTTGGGGTACAGGGGGCTTCAGTGCAGTTGTCCCTGCCTCAGGGACCCACTCTTCAGAGCCACCCCTTCAGCCTCTGTAGAAACTACAACCCAACTGTGGTCGGCAGAGAGGGCCAGGTGTTGCCTTCTTGGTGGTGTTGCTCAGCGGCAGCGGGACCGGCATCCGCAGGGGTCATCCAATCTACCTCCCTGCAAGTTGGCTGCATGCTGTTTGCACCAGCTGGTGCCCAGGTCTATATGAGCAGGTGCTGAATCCAACCCCACCTCCCTGGGCAGCTCCTGAGATACCCCAGCAAAGTGCACTTGGTCCCCGAGTCTCCCCTGGGTTGACTTCAGGTCCTCCTCCTCTTTCCGAAGACCCTTTTCCTATATAGCTGCCAGTTCTCCTGCCCCTCCGTACCCTCCAGCCTGCCATCCCAGAACCCAGCCCAGTGCCCGTCTTCTTCGCGCCCCACTCCTGCTGCCCAAACCTGTTGTCATCTCTGGCTAGTCTGAGATGAGTACCCAGGGCAGAGAGCAGGCTCAGACCTGGCCAAAAGAGTTAATTGCCTTTCCTTGCTTGCGTGCAGCAGGGTCTTCTGCAAAGTGCTGCCGATGGCAGCTAGGAGGACTGTCAGCCAGCAGCAGGAGGGAGCAGGCCGGCGGAGGGAGGGGGAATGCTTGTGGGATTGTCACTGTGTCGTAGTGCCCAGAGGGTAAGTTGGTCTCAGGTTACATAAAATCCTAAATACGGAGGCTTGGGAGGGAGCTCAGGAGGTCACATCTAATCCATCCCCCTGCTCAAAGCAGGACCAGCCCCAACTACAACATCCCGACCAAGGCTTGGTCCACCCGGGTGTTGAAAACCTCCAAGGATGGAGACTGCACCTCCTCTCAGTAGCAAGTCAGTAGTGGAGTCATGAAGAAAACCAGGTGTCCTGGGGTCCCAGCCCAGTCGGTCTCTGGTAACACAGGGCTATTTCCAACAAGATGCCAGGGTTTCTCCCACTCACTCCCTTGTCTTACCAGCTGCCAGTGAGGTTTCTATTAAACACTGGATCTGGACGCTGAGCTCCTAGGTGCGACCTGCACCCCCTCTTCCTCAGGGGCGGCTGTCCCATTGACCCTGTGCATGCCTGTAGCCTCATCCAGAGGCATGTGCTTCTGCCAGGGAGCACTACAGCTCCAGCACCCTTGCCCATCTTGCAAGGACAGGGCTAGGATCCAGAATGACCTGGATTAAGTGGAGAAACAGCCCCAGATCAGATTCAGCAGAGGCATGTTTTATGAAGGGTTTGCGTGATGGATGTGTCTGGGGTGGTTTGGACAGAGCTGATCCTACCTCAGGCAGGCGTTGGACTGCAGGTCCCTTCCAGGCCCACTTCTTTTGAGCTGTATGACATATTTTATGACACAAGCAAAGTGCCACCCTTGGCAAGAAATAACAGCATGCACAAATAGCCTGGGGAATGACTGGCTGGGCTGCAGTGCCTCAGAGAAGGACCTGGGAGTGATAGTCGACCATAAGCTGAATATGAGCCAGCCTCCCTTGTTGCAAACGAAGCCAAAAACCAGGCATTATATGAGCAGGAGGTTCATATAATGCAAATCAAGGCAGTGATTCTTCCTCTCTACTCAGCACTGGGGAGGCCTCACTTGGAGTCCTGTGTCCAGGGTTGACCACTTTAAGAAGGATGGGGACAGTTTGGAGAGGGTCCAGTGCAGAGTGACAAAATCATGACGTGTCTTGGAGGAAAGGATGAAAGAGCTGGGGTTATTTAGCTTGGAGAAGACAAGAGTGAGGGGGGATTTGATCACAGTCTTCAAATCCCTAAAGGGTAATGACAGAGGATGGAGACGGGCTATTCTCCGTGGCCGTAGGGGACAGGACTAGGAACAACAGCCTCAAGCTGCAGCAGAGCAAACTGAGTTTGGAGAGTAGGAGGAACTTTCTGACTCCTGTGAAGCCCTGGAATAGGCACTGGGAGAAGTGGTGCCTGTGATAAGAAAACTCAATCCCTGGAGGTTTTCAAGAGCAGGCTGGACAGACCCTTAGCTGGGATGGTTTAGTCAGGGCTGATCCTCTGTTGAGCAGGAGGCTGGACTAAATGCGACCTCATGAGGTCCCTTCCAGCCCAACTTTCCTGTGATCCAGGTTTGCTTTTCTTGGAGAGAAGGGAGCAATTGAGGTGAGGGTGGAGGAAACAACTTACCTGCTTGGGTGTATAAGGGATATTCCAGTCGCTTAGACCCAGGCCCTCAAAGGCAGCCAGGCTCCTGACTCACCTTGAGGCCACAGAGCTGGGCTGTGCTCCCAGCTGCCCCCGTTACAGCACAGCGCCCCAGGGCAGAGTGGCACTTGTGTGCATGGGTACCCAAAGCTCCTGGGGCAATGCCCCGGGTGCTGAGGGGTTGGGCACAAGGTTCCCTTTCCTGGGTTTCCCTTTTCATTCCTCTCCACAGAGGGGTCACAGTGGACAAGAAGATGGACAGGAGCCAGCAGCGTGCCCTTGTTGCCCAGAAAGCGACCAGCATCCTGGGCTGCATTGGTAGGAGCGTTGCCAGCAGGTGGAGGGCAGTGATTTTTCCCCTCTGTTCAGCACTGGGGAGGCCACATCTGGAGTCCTGTGTCTAGTTTTGTGCCCCCGTGGCCGGCCAGTAGGGGGCGCTCCTGCACTGAGCCACCTACCTCACTGTGCCCGACCACCTTCCAGGCTCTGAGTGCCTCCCTGGGGGCACCTCACCTTCGGCCAGCCCCCTTCCTGGAGCACACCCGCAAGCCTGGGGGTAGTGCTGCCACCACCCAGGGTCTGGACTGTTCTTGGCCCCGTGACCCTGAGAAACAAGCCTAGTAGTCCTAGAGGGTACTCGACCCACTGCAAGAACTTGGGGTGCTTCCCTTAATCTGAAGCACAGATAGTGGTCTCCCTTAGTCAGCCGAAACAAGGGGACCCCCAGACATAATCTAGACGCTCTCCCAACAAGTCTCCCATCCTAGGTACAGAGGAGAACTTTATTGGTTGCAAGGAGTAGGTTTGGAATAGGGTAGAGCAATATCAGAGAAATCCCTTAGAGCAAACAGGGTGGCTGGGTAGCCTTTGATCGTGCATCTGAGTTACTGCAAGCTACACATCTAGTTAGATCTCAGGTAGCTTATTCACGAGTATCATCCAGAGGCTGACAGAGCTTCCCTCTGGAGGTAGGCAGTTCATAGTGTGTCCATGTATTTCAAGAGAGAGAGACAGAGAGCTGAGTTGCTCTCTGTGTCTTCATCCTAACCCTAACCCCCCCCCCCCCCCCCACACACACACACACACCAGGCAATCATTAACTTATATAGACCTTATGACCTCACTCTGGGGTCCCATAGACTAGCTGAAGTTGGCTACAAGCCAATCAATTGGCAGTGCATCACTGGTTGGCAGGTAGGTTGGCAGGGGCTCCAGTCACCCCCGCAGTCATGACATTGCTTAGAAAGTTTAAGCCCCCACCCAGGTGTATGAGGCCAGTCACATAAGCAAAGCAGCCTCTCGCTTACTTCAATGAGCTGCTTAGCCACTAAAGGGATAGACAGGTGAGGAAGGAGAGAGAGGAAAAACAACAAAAACTATTGAAGGAGACCTGGAGGCTGGGATGGAAGTCCTCCACACCCCCCACTGCAGAAAGGATGTGGACAAGTTGGAGAGAGTCCAGCAGAGGGCAAGGAAAATGGTTGTGGGGCTGGGGGACAGGACTGGTGAGGAGAGGGTGAGGGAAATGGGATGACTGAGTCTGCAGGAGAGAAGACTAAGAGGGATTGAACAGCAGCCATCACCTCCCTCCAAGGGGATGGCAAAGAGGATGGAGCTGGACTGGTCTCAGTGGGTGCAGATGGCAGGACAACGAGCAATGGGCTCAAGCTGCAGCCAGGGAAGTTGAGGTTGGATATTCAGAAAAACTTTCTCACGAGGAGGGTGGTGAAGCACTGGAACAGATTACCCAGAGAAGCAGTGGAGTCTCCATCCTTGGAGGTTTTTAAGACCTGGCTTAACAAAGCCTTGTCTGGGATGATGTAGCTGGGGCTGGTCCTGCTTGGAGCAGGGGTTGAACTAGATGTGACCTCCTGAGCTCCCTTCCACCCTCAAAGTCTGTGATTCTGTGAATGTCCAGAGTCTCCCAGAGCAGCCGCGCGGCTTCCCAACCAGCTCCCAGCCAGGGGTTGCACCCCATTCATCACCAGCTCCATGCCACCCCTGACTGACCCAACCCCCTTGTCCTTGTGTTTGCTTCCGCAGATGGCCAACCCCGTCCCGTCAGCCTGCTGCGTGGTGCTTGCCGCCGTGGTGGTGGTGTATGCTCAGAGGCACAGCCAACAGGGTGAGTCTGCCGCACCCACCCCCTCAGCCCGCCTTGGCCCAGGATGGGGGCTCTGCATGTGGTTTATCTGTTGCTATCCCTCCCGTGTGCACCCTGCTGTTTTCCATCATCCTATCCCTTATAGAGCCCTCACTATAGGACCCAGCAGCGATGGAGAGCAGAAACCCCAGGGTAACATCCCTTCCTTCTTTCCTCCTGTACTTCCCTGTCCTCTGGCCTGTGCCTTGGGGCACCACTGGGGCCAGGGGCCAGAAGCCTTCCCCCCTGCAGCAGCGTGGGTGGGTGAGAAGTGCCCTCTTGCTAATGACTCCTCTTACAGTCCCTGCGCACCAGGAGGGAGTCCATCTCCCCCCTCAGCGAGTGCCCGTCCTGCTTCTGCAACTGGCGGTCTGTGCAAGGGGAGGGAGAGGGTATCTCTATGGGCATCCATCGAACCATGCTGGGTTGTGCCATGGGGCAGCGCGGGGTGCTCAGTCAGGCTGGGCATGAGGCTGCATCTCTGCTGCTCGGACGTCTCCAGCCTGTGCAGCTGGGAGCCGTGTCCCCTCGGACCGGTGACCCCCCGGCACAGAAATGAGCTGCAGGCGACAGGGAAAGGCGCTGGACTGCAGCAAGCTCCCATGCTGCTGAGGCCACCTCCAATGTGAGGCTGTTTAAGAGAGTAGCAAAAGGGACCCCCTACAAGCCTTGGGGGGGCTACCAGGAACTGTGGGGCACATCGGGATGTTTGCAAGAGGAGAGGGGTCTGGAAAGCTGCTCCTGGATGGGTTGTACATCCAGCCTCCCCCATCCAGGAGTCCCTGATGGGCCAGTGCTGGCCTCAACCTCCTGGGCTCTGCATGGGTGCCCAGACCCCCAATCTCTTCTGCACCCCTGCCCCTGGCAGACCCTGCCCAGTGCCCCCCCAATGCAGAGATCCAGGGCTAGGGGAAAGCAGGAAAGGGGTTGGAAAAGTTATTCTGCGCTTGGCAGCAACGACCTCCCTTTTTATAGCTCGATTAGTGGATGCACGGCTTTAATAACTTATGAAGCTGAAGGACGTGGATGATGAACTCTGCAGCAGGGAGGCTGCTCAGGCCTCTCTGGGGGGACTCTCGTAGCCTGGACAGCACCCTCGCTGCCCCGGGACCTCGTGCAGCTGTCGAGGGTCCCGCAAGGTAGCACCGGGTTAATAATGATAGCATTGGATGGGAAGGGCTGATGCTTGGGAAGGCTTTTCACTTGTAGGGCAGCTCCAGGTGTGCACACTCCTCAGGTTCTCTCCCTTTGGTCCCAAAGGAGCCAGATCCCTCCAGGGTGTGAACGTGCATTGAAATGGGTGATGGAATATCATCCTACTCGCTTGGCCGGACCACTTGCTCCCAAACTGTTTTTGCTGTAGCTTTAACATGAATTAAAACATCATGACCCTTTTTAAATCCATGGTGTATCCACACCTTGAAGACACGGCCCAGTTTTGGTCTCCGCACCTCCAAAAGGATCTTGAAGAAATGGAGAAGGTGCAGAGAAGGGCAGCAAGGATGCTGAGTGCTATGGAGGGGTCAGGAGTGGGGCACGTTTCCCTGGGTTTGTATAAGCAGTGCATTGTGTCAGGGCCACCCTGGGTCCCCATGACCCGGGTGACGGAAAGCAGTAGTAGGTTGTTGTCCACACAGACATGCTGAGAGTCGGGAGCATGGCGTCCTTTCCCGTCCCTGCAGTGGGGGTTGCAGACCCATCGGCTCCCAATCCCCCCAGGTCTGGTCCCTTTTACTTCTGACTCCTCTTCTCAGGCTCTTAGCCTCCCTTCGTTGCTTATCGCAGTCTCCCTGCACCGCCGGTATCAACTCCCCCTTATTCTCCATCGAGTCTCGGTTCCCATCCCTCCAAACACACACAGGAGTCATCGCCTTCATCCAGGCTCTTTCCCTCACTTTCCTGCCTCCCGTGCCCCTGACGCCCAGCTCTTCTCCCCCTGGTGTAAGTCAAGCTGTTTCTTCCTCCACTGCATCCTTTGGGGTTGCTGAGAGCATAAATGAGACAGGCTCTCTGCTCACGGGCTCTGAAGCAGCAATCGCAAGGAGTTTTGCTAGGTCCCTGCAAAAAGGAGCATGCCCAGGACAGATGCAATCACTGGAAAATTTATACTCCAACCTGTACTGAGCGTGCAGCCACTGAGGTTTTGCAAAACCTTAGAACTTGGCCAGATTTGGGCAGCTTCTCCTGGAAGCCCCCAACAAACCACTCCCCTGGTACCCAAGCCATCCATGGCCCTGTCCGAGGTAAGTCTGTCTTCCAAGCGCTTGAGTTTCTCAACAAAGCACCCAACGTTGACATGGGCAAAACAACGTATCCCCCCAAAATACCCAAAGCATTTCTGCTGACATGTTCCAAATCCGTTCAGGTGGAGACAGACACCTGGCAGGGGAAGTTTCAGCCCTCACGGTTGAAGTCAGGCAGCGGTTTATAAGCGAGGGAAAACAGGTTCTTATAATGGCAACCTTAATTAGACGAGGTGCTATCAGCTCCTGTCTGCGAACGTTGACATTGAAAGCAGATAAATAGGGACCTGATTGCTCTCACCTACCTTCTGCTATGAGTCACCCCACTGATATCAGGGGGCTATTCAAACAGGAATGAGCTAATCCACATGAGCGAGAGCAGCTGGATCCGGACCTAGGTCAATAAACATAAAGGCGTGCATTTAAATGGTCTTTGGTGCTCCGTTGAATGGGTGTCCTTGAAGGCCGAGGCGCGTGTGTTAATCCAGGAGGTGTGTAGGGCTGAGAGAAGCAGGAAGCCTCCTGATGAGACTGCATATTTTAGACCTAAATAGATTTCAAGCGATGTCTATTTTTAACTGGGGTGAAGACAAGGCATCCATTATTGATGTGGGCAGCCATTTCTGAGGTCAGAGGTTATGGAGGAGGTTGAGACTAAGTGGTTCTGGCCTTATCTGGAGCCCTCAGGTATCCCCGGACCCTTTTCAGTCCTTATTTCTGTCCTGAGTTTGAATCAGGGGCTGAATTGATCTCACTGCACACTCATCGGCTTCTGGGGATGGGCTAGTTTTGTTAAGAGAGGTTTGTGTCTTATGCGGACAGACTGTTTTGTATGGTCTTCTAGCAGCTGCTTGGAAGATAACAGCCTACTGCTGCAGTCAGCGAGCCGTGCTGCTCCCTTAGGTCAAGCCGTCAGTGTTGTGAAGCTCCCTGCTTGAAGCCGGGGTTGGAGGCAGAGGGCATGGCATCGTATAGCATCGTGCCGCCGGTCTCAATGGCTTCCTGTGACCCAGCTGGCACACGCACGTTGGCTGGCCACGCTGTTTGCATTGTATGGCATGTGCCATGAGAGATGGGGACAACTGGGACAGCCGCCCCAGTGGCAAATCCCAGAGCAATTCTTCTACAGCAAAGTACTCTGCAAGCCCCCCGACGGGGCAGGATGTGTTGGGTACCTGGATTCGTACTGGGAATCTCTGGGTTTATCTGGTGACTCGTGTGTGGACATTTTCACACGGTGCTAAAACTGCCTGGCACCCTTAAGAGGATCCCAGTGTGCTGCAGCACCCTGGATACGATGATCCCTTGGACTAGCTGCGTGCTGGAGACAGGGATTTCAGTAGGGCTGCTGCGGTCATGTCCTGCCTTGTTTCCCCTTGCTGCAGAGGGTGAGACAGTGGTTTGTACTGGTGCAAAGCAGCTGTAGATCCAGTGTAGGTCCTCGTTGTAGGAGCAGTGGAGCATCCTCTTCCCTGGAGGGTACCGAGCAGAGGCTGGTCAGTGCGGGTCTGGGATGGAGTAGGAGCAGCCCAGTGCAGGGGATAGGAGCAGGTGACACTCTCCCCCTGCCATCCCTCTCCTGCTGCAAGGGGGCTGGCAGTGTGGCTTGGCCGATCAGCTTGTGGGGGCTCCGTTTCTCCGTTAGCTCTGTAGGACTTGAGCGTTATCATTACCTGCCCCCGTGCACACAGCCACGTCTCTCCCTCGAGCCCAGGGCTGACGCTGGAGCGCGGGCCGCAGCGGGGAGGCACAGCCGGTGTCACAAGGGCTCGTGGACGGCTAATCCAGTCGAGTTGCTTATCCCATTGCTCCGTGGCACTAATCCAATCGCTCAGCTAATCCGTTCCCTCCGCGCCGCGAGTCCACCCGCCGCTGGCTGCTGCTCCGGTCTTGCTCTGAAGTACGGCTGCTGTCTCTGGGGCTCTGGGAGGGGGGTTAAGGCAGGTGCATGAACTTGGTTGGATTCGTGCATACGTGAATGAATGAATACAAGCCCTGGGAAACCCTCTCCACACCCCACTGGGGCAGCACCGGGGGTTTGTGGGTGGCATAAGACCTGGGCATGGACTCAGACGAGCGCTGCGTCCAGCCTAGCAGAGCAATGCAGAGCCCGGTCCAGGGGCTGGAAGACCAAGTTGCAGAGCATGCTCCAGGGGCCAAGCCGCAGCGTCCTTGGGCTGGAAGGAGCTTCAAAGGGGAAAGTCAGCTGTGCCCACACTATCCCTATCCAGCATTTATCCAGCCTCCTCTTGGAAACCTCCAGGGACAGGGAAGGGGCCGGTCCAGTCTGAATGTATCCAGGCTCCCCTCGGGCGAGGGCAGGATGTGGTACAGATGCCTCCCTGCCAGTTTTGCGGCCGCACGCACTGCCGGGGGTGGACCATGCAGTCACGACTGGGAAGAGCCCAGGGTGGGTGGAGGGCTGCTGGGGCAGGAGGGCCGAGATGGGGGCATGGGGAGGGTGGGGGACCGTGGGGCAAGTTCCTCCAGGCTGTGCCTCGAGTTGC